GATCTTTGCATGGATTTACCGAGTGAGTTAATTTACATGATATTGTATTAACTCAATGGGAAACAAATTTAATAATTTTGCATGTCTACAAATTCTGTGAGTTGTTATATATGCTCACCTGAATAAGCACAGTATTGTTGACTGTTTATTTGTCCTAACAACCGACAGTCTGAAATACTGCTCTACCACAACTTCAAACATTACAAGAGGAACGTTTGACGTCTTTTTAAAGACTTCTTTTCTTAATACATTTCTTATTTCCATTTTTGGAAAGAGTCTGTAGCAAGTGGTAATTTTCACGAAGTAAACAGGAAATGGTTTTTACCTAACATGCGGTCAGGAATTTACATCATCATTTTAAGCAGGAAGTTTAAATCATTTACAGAAAAAAAATCCATTTTTAAAAATAAAAATAAAATTGCTGCTGAGCGAGAAATGTTTACAACAACAAATTGTTAATTGAAACAGGATGTTCAGACAAAATTCAAGAAACACATATATGCCATGTGACAAAGACTGTGAAAAACAGATCCAAAAATATTATGTTTAATTAAGCTATCCTCAGTCTACAAAGCTGTCAGGAGATGAACTGAGCAGTATAAAAGCTATGTTACATGTGGCTGGTATTAAATGCCGCAAACAGCAGGTCCACAACAGCCCCAGCTTAGCCTAATGTAAGCTCTTTAATTGACACATGGTTTAGCTGATAATATCAAATGTTAGGTGGCAAATATTTAAATCTTGCATAAACTATTTAGTTTATCACAGAAAGTTGGGTTGTCATTTGAAGGAAGTAAGATCTCTTTGTACAGTAGTAGGGATCACAAAACTTAGAGCCTACCAAACTATTTTAGGAAAAGTAATCAAATTTTGTGTATGCAAAATTGGACAGGAAGAAATGCCTGCAGGTGCCATGAAATTAACACTCAAATAAAACCTTCCTAAATTCACCCAAATAGACTACTGTATAGCTTAGTCTGGGGCACGCAGATATCAGATACAAACAGATTTAGAGCCAAACATCAAGACTGTTGTGACTATTCATCTTGATAATTCTGCCATCAATATGATTTCATTTTCAATATGTATAGTAGTTGATTCAGGGTGTAAACATCCATCATACATCACTCAAGAACCATCTCATGCATATAATTTTTAGCGCTCTGATAACCAACACATACTTGAATACAATGTCTATACTCAATAAAAAAATCTACCCAGAAAAGAGTACAAGGTTTTTGTTCTGTTTTCAAAACTAAGTCAGTGTCAAAACATGTACACAAAAATCAAGCATGTGTTACAAGATCACACATTTTCACAGTTGAATAGAGATGAAGTACATGTTCCATAATATAACTGTTCTTACACTTTTTACATGCTTAGTGGAGTGTGCAAATTGAATGTTTTGCTGCATAATTCAAAAGAAAAGGTTTATCCTAACTGAGAAAATGTCACGGAAACACATGCCATGGTAAAATGCAATGACTATAGTAAAAAGACAACAGATACCGAACATTCCCTAACAACAAATTTACTACATTCGGCAATGGGTTAAATGAAAACAACTGGAATACTTATAATAAATCATTTCAGACCACAATATACAAAACTTCGCAACAAAAAATTCCTCCCTTTACTATAAAAGCAACAATATTTTCTTATCATATTATTAGTAGACTTGCCTTACAATGATTCTCAACAAAAGTCTATAGGGAAAAACAGTGCAATAAATAAATTCTGATTTAGAAACAGTTGCCTTGGTTTCATAGGCAAAAATAAATTATTTCACTCATCCTCTTGAAAATGAAATTTTCAAAAGGAAGAAACTGAAACTTCCTCTCTCCACAAATTTAAAATTACTGTTTTCACGAACATCACATTTCATTACAGAGGTGGCAAATTGAAAAGATTAACCTGTTGAAACCTATGCCCAAATATTGCACTCAAACATGGATCGCACTTAGAATTCTTTGTTTCACGCTAATACAAGAACTATGACAATAAGAGAAACTAAGCCAGAACTCTTGAATACCATGGTTAAACAAATTCAATGCACATATATGCAACTTCAAAACAAAAGTTGGATTTACGGGATAGCTCTAGAATTCGTTATCATCTGCAATCACAGTGTCAATGACCCATCATTTCACGAGCGCTTGTTCATTACACATTGAAATCGACATACGAAATCAACAACCTTCGTTATGAGGAAAGTTACTTGGAAATCTCTTCCTCAAGACATAATCAAAAACGTAAAAGTTCCGGAGACACCGCACCATTGCAGTAATACATAATTATCATTCTATAGTACACCTTGCATGAAAATTAATTAAGGTGCTGGAGGAAAACTGCGGTCTTAAAATGTTTCACCCCAGCGCGCGCCCAGGATCAGAAGTAAATAGTCGACCGGACAAAGTCGCTGAGGTAGTTTCACTGCTTATATGAAACATTCGCCCAGGAGTAAACAAGTAAAGATCAATTCTTTCTCAATAAAAACCCAGTCATCTGATAAATTATTCAGTCTGTCGCTTTCACTCGTTGAAGAGTTAGACAGTTCCAAATTTGACACCGCGACAAATTCGCAAAAACGCGAGCGATAAATATGTTAGGGGCAAAACCAATGACATTCGTGATTTTTGGCTAATTTCAATTTCTAGAAATCGTAGATACGACGATACTTATCGCCACGGTATAGTAAAATCAATCCTCTAGCAAAGTTACTTACCCTCCGATGAAATTAAATACAATACTTAAAATCGGCCCCTTATACCGGCAAAATATTGCCCAGCACAAGGTTTTGGCTTGCAGGTAAAACGCGTACGCATTGAATATTTCGGTTAGGGATCAAATGAAGTCGTCAAACTGCCGATAAAAATGGCATTACCATCAAAATACACTTTCCTAAGCTTCGAACAAACTACATACATATTAGAGTTTTATTTACGACTCAGGAAAAATAATCCTGACAAGCACGCACATATCCTGAGAAATGTCATAAAACGAGACGAGCGGACGACAAGATTATCGATCGTCTCGTTCAAATACGCACGGCTGTGCAATTTCTTTGACTAGAAAGATTCCCCATTGAAGGCAAACAAAGGGAATCCCTGAATGATTCGTGTAAACGAATGCAAAGCGCCAAAGCAAGTTGTTTGTAAAATCATCTCTTGTTAACCCTTCAAATCCCCTGCGACAGAAGCTATTCACTTCCAAACCAGCCGAGTGTACGGCTTCAAACCGATTTGTCAGCCTAGATTTGATGCATAAATTTTCCTTCAAGCCACACGGGATCTACCATTTCCGATGCAGTACTCAGAAGCGAGGGATTTCATCTTACTGGAGGCAATTAAGGCGAATATTTAGAATGAATTAATTCCACCGTTTGTTAAATAGAGGACATGTTCATTACGACATGCAAGTAACTCTACAACACGCCCGCGAATTGGTTGTGTTCCGTTAAGTTAACCTCAGATTCTCAACTCTAGATCTTCTATTTGCACTAGAGGAGCGAAGCATCCTCTTGGTAATTGACAAATAAATATTCACATGCTTTTAGAAGGAGTCACAACCTTACAGAACACTGTAACATGTGACAGAAATAGAACCCTCACAAATCGAACGAAGGAAACTCTTACCAGTGCAAACACATTTGAGCAGCATTCATCCAAGTCTGAGCCATGAAGCATGGGAGTCGAAGCGGTCATGCTAAGAGCATGGCTTCCTAAACATCGGACCTAAATAACGAGCAAAACACAAGGAAAAGCGAACCGCTAATCGTTTTTCGTTCAAAGGAAATCGGAAAATAAGATGGCAGCAAGTGACGTTGCTGAGGCGGGCATAAACCGTAAGTTCATTGGCTGGTAGGTGTCATGTGACCAATAGGCACGGGTCAAGCTTTCTGACTTGATGCTTCCAAGCGAGTGGCTTCGGCGAAGTGCAAAATATACAGTTTATTTAGCATAGATAACTTTTCGATCTACTTCAATTTATGAAAAACACCTCGACACTTGCCACTGTATTCTAGCGAAAGTTCCTTCATTCGAAGCTAATTTTATGGCAATTATAATTATTTCCATTTTGCTCGGACAGGCTTCTCGGTCCTTCGTGACTACACTTTGATAACCCGGCGGGAGGTCTTGGCAAAAAATAATCTTCCCTGGTAAACAAAACCGACGATCGGCCAAAAGAAAAATGAAAATTTTGCAAATTAACAGCTTGTTTTCAAAAGGCAAATTGATTAGTTCTAAAGGTGAAGTTTTTCCCCACTATAGACTTGTCAGTTTCTTCGCGCGGCGTTAATAAAGGAAATTTTCCGACGCCGCTGTAACTTCATCGAAAAACCCTCATGCCAAGAGATTTTAAGTTTCAAGCTGAGTGGTATCATAAATAGAAGAAATCCCACTTTTCAAACCAGCATACGAGGTGAAATTAAATGTTAATAGTTAAAATTCACAATATTTAGAAGATACAATGTAAATGACTTCGACTAAAATTTTGTTTCAATATCAACACTTACGCACGTCAGTTTATTTTTCAACTCATCAATGCGAAAAAATATCGTAGAAAACACCTCGCTAACTTCAGAGGTTGTTTTAGCCGAATGCGCGTGGATTTTACAAGACAATACTAAAGCCAAATCATTATTTACTTTTGTGTTAATTGTACTTTATGTGTTGGAGCTCAAATGATCAAACTCTCAAATGTAGAGACGTCAAATTTGGAGGCATGAGTATTAAATTTTTAAAATTAAAAACATTAATAATGAAATGCAGTTCTATATGAGTTTCACAGTGTAACAAACTGCCTTTTTCAATCCGCAAATGATGTTATAATTACTAGATGAATAAAATAGCCTCCTTATTGCAGTTTGATTTCATTTTTCTAATCCATGAGGAAAAATATTGAAAAATTATTCATTCTTTGTTATCAGCGTTAGCCAGATCAATCGAGGGAAACATCGAAGAAAAGTGTAAACATAAAACTTCACAGGACCCGCTAGTCATCATTGTCGCTTTTTCGCTAAAATAAAAATTAAATGATTGTGTTTGCATCTCAGCACGATTTGCGATTCACCGAAACTTGAAAATGTGCTCATTATTTGCACGCCAAAAAGTCCGATATCAAGCCCTTTTTATCTCAGATTTGAGAACAGTGGAAAGAAGTACGTTGGTTTTATCAGGTGTTTGTGGCGAAAACAGCTTTGTTTGGGCAAACAAGCGCAACCAAGTATTGTTTTGACAGCTCAACTGTGAAACATGTCCTATTACTCTCGATCAATGGTAACTAAATTTTGACTGATAGCCGAAAAAGTTTGACTTTGGAAGGCAGGTCAGCTACTGTAAGAAATTCGTGGCCAGAAATATCATACTTTCACGTTTTAAAATCATTGGAACAAATCTCCGATCAAATAAGAATCTTCACTAATATAATAATAACAGCTGTGTGTGTTTCAGACAATAGGAAATTGTCAAATGTGCCAATTTTGGCGCTCTTTTAATAAACGCTGAGAAATGACTGAGATATTGAGAAAATCATTCAGTTAACCGACCTATCTTCTACTGACGTTCACAAGTGACTACATACAAAACTTTATTTTGTTACGCATACGCGGCTTTTCGCTCCAAAAAAAAAAAGTGAATGAAACGTTTAACTGGCAGATTATTTTAATGCATAAAATGTGAATAACTTTCTTGGCTGGCTAATCCTTATTCAATCAAGTCCAATCTAAGGTGACTAAAAATCACGTCTTAATTCTAGCAGAGACTCGGTAGGCCAACACTGGGTTCAACTGTCACTATGTAAGCGTCCAAACGGTTTTTTTTCTCTATTATTCTGATACATGCGTACAATGCAAAAATGGAGTCTTTGCGTACAAAGGGTTCCTCTTGAATTATAGCTTGCAATATTGACTTTCCTGTCATTTTATTTACATTGAAGGCTAAAAAGCTAATATTTCCCATTGAAAGGTGTATGTTGTGTTCTGAAAACGTTATTCGCTTTGACTAAAAAAGTTGACCGCGCTGTTAGTTAAAAACAATTAGAAGTTTTGGTAAAATATTGATACTATAAATTCACGCTTGTATTTCGATCAGTATCGTCATTCAACCGACTGATTTTAGAAACCACTGTTGCAAACGTTCGTCAGTTTTCTGTAACATGAAGCAACTAGGAGTATTGCTAACCCCCTGTTCGGTAGCATTTCGCTGGAACACATATTGGTCACCTGGTTGTAGGCGGAGTCCGCCCAGATAAGAATAATCGAACACTGAGATTTTACTGGTTCTAGTAATTTCTTAAATTGGAACAGACAGATACCAGTTAAACATAGACACCTCAGTTTTTATTACGGACTGTCATTTCGTTTTTGGTACCTTAACGCCAAAAAACACATACATTTTGCTGTATAAATTAACTGCTAACCCGCAACCCGAATACCCTAAACAATTTCATGCGGATAGAGTTGTACCCCGGGAGTTGTACTTAGTAAACAACTGAAAAAATGCAATTAATGAACTGGCCCCAGTTGTTCAAAGGCTGGATAACGCTATCCACCGGATAAATCGCATTCCAGTGGATAGGTGTTAACAAACTAAGCCACGCTATCCGATGGATAGTGATTTATCCGCTGGATAGCGTTATCTACCTTTCGAACAACCCCGGCCTGATAGCTATATAGCCAGACCCGTAAACATGGTAACTGTTCACAAATGATTTTAAACAGTTATGCTTTTTCTGAGTGGAAATGGCGCTATTGTTTCTTACCAGCTGCAGCTGCAGAACATCTGCACTCGCCTGGAGGGTTTAAGACCACTCATTAAAACGAAGTCAAAGTAGACAGTTTTCGTCAAGAATCTAAGAATTGTTGACGTTTAAGTAAATTCAGTCAGTTAAGACGTTTTAATTTGCGGATAACGTTTTTTTTTTTCAGGTATTAAAGCGTCTTTCGGCCAGCAAAACACTTGCCATATGTAACAGTGTAGGGCCGGGGGGAGGGCTCCCATATCCCATATAAAAATGACGGGGGTCCTCGTCGGAAATTTTGAAAAGAATCCATAAGAGGTACCAAGATCCTGTTTTGTGAGCCTTCCTTCAAATTTTTTTCACCCCTAAGAGGTATCAATTCTAAAACAACAATTAATCTCCTGTCATATTTTATCGGCTCAATACTCTCAATACCGTAAAAGCTCCCGCTGTGGACCTTTTGAGGCTAAGCACCCTAAAGAGGTAGCAAAACCGCTTTTTTAACCCCTAAAAGGTACGACGAACCGTCCTTTATATGGAAGTTCCCCCTGAGAGTATAGGATTATACTAGCTAGGAAAACTTTTGATGTACTCCTGGGTTCATATCATTTGCTGGGAACAAATTAATTATCTGATAACATGGCCAGGCTTAGACCCTTGAGCGACCAAGTCAATCCTATTAATAAAACGATCATAAAGGATCAGCTAGACTACGTTGCTACTAGAAAAAGGCATTATTACCACATTGGTAGAAGGACGTTAACTTTGCACTGCGAAAAAATAACTGTTTATACGCCTCGGAGTAAGTTAATTTGAATTAACTGATCAATCATCGAGATACAGTAAGCTTGACGTAGACCAATGCTCCCAAAACAACCGCTTAGCTTCTATATAACTAAGACTGGATTTAACAAATCAACGTGGGTGACCCATGTCCCGCTGATCAATGAGCTATATTTTGCTAAATCTAATTTAAAGTATACTTAAAGAAAATATCTTTCTTTTTCTAACGAGTACATAATAGTAATTGGATCGAGCGGAGTACAGTTCAGGGAGTAATCAGGCGAGTGATTTCAAAATGGGACGAGCGCGCAGCGCGAAGCTGATTTGAAATTGTAAGCACGATTAAGGGCATACCGGTCCAGTCAGCGGAACATGCGAACTCCTCATTGTTTTGCCCAGAGGCATTTCATCTAACGAACTCGAGCTGATAACTAAAGCCCGGTCCTCACTTGGGACGCAGGCATAAGTGTAAGCATAAGCCAAGAGCAAGGTCACAGCTTCTTGCATAAGCATAATCATAAAAAAGGCTTATGCCCTTTAATAGCGGAGCTTAGCGGGGACGGTCGATCCGATAAGCGTAAGTATTAGCATAAGAATATCAAAACCTTGCGTTCTTCTTATGCTTGCGCTGTTAAGTCTACTTGATGGGGACATAAGCATAAGCGAAAGACTTTTAGCCAATCAGCGAGCACTTTGTGCTTATGCCAACCGGTGTCCTCACTCAACATAACACCGACATAAGCATAAGCAGAAAGCTTATGCTTATGTCGCAGCCTTCCTCACTAGCGCATAATAGCTTCTTCTGCTTATGCTTGCGTCGCTGAACTGGTCATTAATTATGCTTAAGCCGGCTTGCTTCGCAAGTGAAGATTGAGTTTGGCTCAGTTCGTTAATTAATTAGTAACGACTATCTATTAACCGAATCGTTCTGTGATTACTGGTTATTGCATTGTGAACAACTTTTTCCACTCTTTCCAGTTTAAAACGAGGTCGTGTTGCTCAGGTCTACCCAAAAAGACGAGGAAAGCAGAAATGGCAAAATGGGCGACCCATGCAACTTTTCGAAATATAAAAAAAGCTAGGGGAAAACGCTAGCTGATCTATCAGTTAATTTTTTCTCTAAACTAAGGTAAATAGTTTCGGCCCAAAGAAGACTGTAATCACCATCTTCAAAAAAAGTTTTTTCAGACCGAAGCCTCATCAGCGATAAAAGTAAGAAGGCAAGAGCCAAGGGAGACTCAGGCAAAGGAACATGGATGAAGGCTGATTTCATGCAGGACCGTAGCTGGAAAAAAACTCAACTGCGGCAATGTCCATAGTTCAATTATTTTCCTAGGTATTTAGGGTATTTATGACGACTATAAACAAAAAACACCAAAACCAATGACTGAGGCAAGTGCCTGGGTTTACCTGTTACCTGCTAAGGCTCTGTTATGTCGGGTAACGTGAGCTAAAATTCAAGAGAGGCGAAGCCAGGTGAAGGGTGAGGATTACGAAGAATAACCTTTTGCACTTCTCACGACTCAGTCCAATAAACATTCTTTTACTCCAGATTACTTTTATTGTGGCAAGCTCCTTTTTAAAATTGTTTTTCTATCTACACTGACTATTGACAATATCATTATCAGTTTTTATTAGCTAAAGAACTCGAGGAATGCTACAACAATTTTGATATCGTTCTTTAGTGCGTATCTTCTCGACAGGCGAAAAGCTTCATCAAGAATATCAAAACAACGACCTTCGAAAGGACTTGTCCCTTTTGGCTCATCAAAACATTATTCAAACAACACAGGGTCAGTTACCTATGGCTGAAAATAGAGTGGTGTTCCCTTAAGTGTCGAAAAGTAATTGGTTTCGCATTGCTACGCTACACAATTGGCTTAACCAAACTCACGCCACTTTGTTATCCAATCAGAAAAACCAAAACCAATCCTGTCTCGTTCGCACACGGTTTCCCGCGCTTCGCGTTAGCTCCATATGGTTACTTCGAGTTTTGATTGGTTCACTGGATTGCCTGTGTCCTTGGTGAATGGCTAGAGTAACTACTTTGGTTTTGGTTTTACGACACTCAATTGAAAACCACTCTACGCGCAACAAACCAATCAAAATGAAAAAAACTTGTCACCAACCGGTAGTAACCCTTGGAAAGCGCGGGAAAAATTGCGTACACCAAGTCAAATGCATTTGATTGGCTGAGCAAATATCTTCACTCTGATTGGTTAAAGAACGTTGCACGAACTAAATGATCTGACTATGTAGATATCAGAAAACATAAAACTGAAGCCGTAACTTACTAAAAAAATACTACAAAATTGTTTAACAAAATCGTCTGCACACTGCAGTATTTCAGGTTTACTTTCGTACAGGATGCTTATCACCTCCTTTCAGTATTACATGTAGGGCGCTTTCCATTATGCCATACCGACCGATCAGAAACTAGTAAAACTAACCAAGGAAAAACGGAACGACATTTTCCGAACAAACCGGGCCAAGCGAGAAGAATGGCTCCTATCATTTTCTATTCCTTTCCCCAATCAACCACACAAGTGAAAATCTACTGAAGGGGAGGAGGGAAACGGATCGGTTTTTCAAAATGGAACTGCAAATTTCGGTCCGACCGATCAAAGTGGACCACTTCCAGAGGTGGTCCCGAATCTTCCGGTTGGGCCGAACCGAACCGAACCGAACCTTTCCATTTGACTACTCAGCGAAATTTCTGTAATTTTTGGTATAATGGAAAGCACCCTTAAACTAGAGATTCTCACTGCCAAGAGAAGATAAGGGTAAGAGAGGTTTATTCCTAAATCCCTCTTAAGTTATTTTTAGACATGGTACCAAGTCTTTCCTTGAAAAATGCAGGATTGCTATTTCTATACCCTGCTAGGATTTCCGAAACCGGGGGTAATTTGAAAATACTTTTAGAGGGATTACCTTGGAAATAAAGCCTATAGGGGCAATTAACTCTCTACCCTTCATCTTCTATTGTCTATTGAGCCATGTCTGCCATGTTGTTACTCTCGAATCTGAGTAAAACGTCCACATCATCGTCCTTCTTGGTACTTCTTCCCACTGGAATGTTTAGATATCGCTGGCGCAGAACATGAGCAGCGGCTTTCGGTTGCCGTTGGCGAGTCAGGATCCCTTTCTTGTTGCCCACAACTCTCGTTATTTCTGAAAACACACAAACAGTGATTTGAGCTCAATTTGATTTTTCTCGATACATTCTAAAGATTTTTGAGGAGAAATGTCGCTTGGTATTTTCTCCTCTCTAGCTCTGAAATATAAGACGTTCATGACGCGAAGAAATCTGAGCGGAACACAAGACAATGGGAGCCGCACATGTCTGAGTCGGTCCATTGTTGTAATCCATTCTCATCATTAACATCATTACCCCTCCTCATGTCCTGACAGGTTTCTATTCTTTCTTGAGTACTGTTCTTCAAAAAGAGGGCGATATTTTTGGTTTTCCTGTGATACACGGCATGCTTCGGAGCTCCTTTAGATCACGCATAAAATGTGTAAAATACGCGTCAGGACTCACTGGCATACTTAACACTAGATAACGCTAATGATTGGTTAGTTCAGTCCTTAAACTCTCCCCACCCAGCCTGTATTGGGATTGAACCTATGGGAGGAACCAGGGATTGAACCATTGTCCTGCGGGTGTTCTCCCCACCATGCCTATATACAGCAGTTAAGCTCAGGAACTGAACTAATAATTAGTTGAACCAACAATTCGTTGTAAACCTGGTTACTTCTACCAAGTAAGGAACCTTTCTTGAAACAATAAAAACAAACACAACAAACGAAAAGTTTAGTTTTACCTCTGGCCTGAGTAAACAGACACTTCATTCATTCCCCTCCCCTTCGACCGGGTAAAGTTCCATTCTGGTAACATAACACTGTAGTAGTGATCTGTGTATCGCCTGGGATTTACTGCTGCACGCTTTCAATTTTCGCGCGCACACTATTTACAACCAATCACAGACACAGATCAATGTAGTGCTATGTCATCAGCATGAAACGTTTTGGTCCAATAACCGACGTGCACGAGTAGGGAATGAATTGAATGCGCAGAGGAAGCCATCTTATTGCTCAGACTACTTTACTTCCAAATTTATATTCAAGTATTATCTTACGCAGTTATAGCCCTCTTTGGGCTCTTCACGCAATCGTTTCTTCCCAGGAGTGCGTCACAACTCATAAAAGCGTCTACGTGGGTAGACTGTGAGCAGTCTCTCTTTTCCTCGAAAATCCGTGGGGAAAAACGCAAAACGAGTGAGCGTGCGAGCGTGACTGTAAGCGTGACGCTCGCACGCTCACGACTGCTCACTTGTGTTGTGTACTTCTTTGCGTTCTTCCCCACGGATTTTCGAGCAAAAGAGACTGCTCGCAGTCTACTAAGTAGGAGGATAATGCAGCTATTAACAACAAGAAGATCTCACGTTGTTTGGTCATGAAGTCCGCAAAGTTCCATATCAGTTCACCAACAAAGAATTCTTTCTTTAGTTTATCAAACACTGGGAAATAATGCTGGATTGTTTCAACCTGGTTAAAGCAAAGAACATCATCAGCAACAATAGTGAACATCCAAAGATTTCAACAAGATAACGCAATTCACGAAAGATTTCGGAGAGTGACCTCTTTAAAAATGAAATGACGTTTATCACATTGGAGACTCATATCCCCTATTCAGGGGGGCGGGGGGACTTAAGAAACATTTGAACATAAGTTAAAATTTTCATTGTTCACGAGGACGGCCCCTGGCACTAGCAAAACCTTTGACTGAGCACGAGTGACTGGATAGTAAGTACAACTACATTTAATTATTACACGACCAAGTTAGTTCAGCGGGCCAATAACTAAAACCAACCAATGCAATCAGATTGCTTCAGTGCCGGTCCAATATTCTTTTGGACCGGGCACTGTCCCGAATGATGCCGCACGATCACACTTGAAGATTTTTTCAGGTTGGTTCATGGTTTACTTCTCTAAAAAAGACTTTTCCAATTTTCTTGGCCTTCTGGTTTGTTTAATATCAAACGTGAGCATACGTCTAGTCGACTCCCAATCGGAATTGCGCGCTTTTTTCCAGTTCAGTTTGTGATCGTGGCATTTTTTTTCTAAAACGATTTTCAGTCGTGTAATAGACCTCTTGTTAACCAATCTTGCTCGGGACCGTACTGGGAGGATATCAGTCTCAGTATGTTTTTTCCAAAACCTTGGGCCGATATCTCCCAGTACGGCCCTTGCACTTCTTTAATAAGATATAATGTTGTCGTCAGGTTAAGAACGCAATAAATATATCTTGTTACTAGTTTGCTTTTCTCACCTGATAGTCCTCGGTGAACATAAGAGGGGGATCCTGGGAATAAAAGCAGATAGTCAGTGCTATATGCTCGCTCATTGATTGACAATCAAACTGACTGATTTGTCGCACTCTGGCCGGCTGCCTGCCAGCCAGCCTGTCCGCCCACTTGCATGGCTGACTAGCTGACGGACGAAACAAGGTAGTGACCGACTGACCAACTGGCAATACCAGAATAACATACAAATTTCTTTACAGATTTATATGAACATTACTAGATAAAAAGAGACAAACAAGTAACATTCATGGAAAAGTTACAATGTGGTTGTCAAGTATTTGGTTGGGAAAGGCCAAACAATATCCCCTGTTTTCTCAAACTCATCAATAATTAATCATAGTTTAAACAAATCATAGTTCATCATAGTTTAAACAAAGGAAATATGACCGTGGCGGTGTTTGGATATCTGATCTTAATTAGCATAGATTTTTACGATTTTATTTCTCCGTTTTCTCCTTAGTTTTAGTTTCGATTGAGAAGATATATCAAACACTCAAGACAGTCTTTAACCACATTTTCAAACAGGTCGACGTTCGTCAAAAATACTCTGCAACGAGTCGTATTTTCAACTCTGTTCTCTGGAAATGTGGTCAAACACGGTCTTTCGTGCTTGATATACTGTATAAGGTCTAACAACTCACCGTGTGAAGTCCCGCTACCGTGTCAGCCCCATACTCAGATTGCACAACTGGTTTGTGGAACTTGTCAAACCAGGCTCTTAAATCTATCTCTAGCTGGCGACTGATCAGTTGTGTTTGTCCGGGGTCTTGGTACCAGGCGTAATAGCTGTTGCGTAGAATAACATCAACATACTGCACCTGTTGGAGTGATACACACACACAATTGTAAGCTTTTACAGAGTTCTGCCAGATAGTGACTTTTATACCCAGGCGGAAGTCCAGCAAAATAGAAACTGAATGGCTATACCAGATCCTTACCGCGTGGTCAGTGTTAGCGGCTGCTGCAGTCACAAATGTAACAGGACGAGTTGGGTCCAGGGAGCGAGTAAATGCGATCACAGATCTGTTGAGAAACAAACAGCATCCACATCAGACAGCACATGATGCAGAGGATTAAAGATTAAGGCCATGAATACAGACTACAATTTCTTACAACTTGTGTGGTATACAACACTGTTGCATTGCAAGTCCAGTAGAGTTGTTGCGCGTATTACCCCGCATTCTCCATCCTGTCGCAAGTTTTGGCAAAGTGTTACACAAAGTTGTAATCATTGCCTCATTCCCACAATAAGTTGTCACAGCTGGTAACATGGTTGGTAATACACGCAACAACGCGATCAGCCTTGCAGTGCAGCATTAAAATATATATTGTTGTGCAATAGGTTGCATGAAAAGCAGCCCTTACTATGATAGTTGCCTTCAGCGCGGAGGACTAGAGAACGCGTCCAAAGCCGCGGCACTAAGTAGTTATAACATGAGAAGGGACGTTTTGATCCAACGACACAGTTGACTGGGTCATAACAAACATAACAACTTTACTTGTGTCAAAATTTTAGTACTGAAAGTAGACTGATGGAATTGATCAGATGTGACCAGACAGGTTACATGTAGGTAGTTTAGTGTGTTTTCCACTAAAATGGTCATCGATCTCATTAGAAGAGTATGTTTTACACACTGTAACCCATTGTGTTGCTAGCATAAGATGAAAGTCACAATCTTACTCGAAGTAGGGCCCTGCTGCAGCGTAATTCGAAGCTGGTTCGTTAGCTACAGACCACATGACTACCGATGGACGATTCTTGTCACGACGAACCAACTCTGCCATGACATCCAGGTGATGATGGAGGGTGTCGTTCCTGAAGTTCTCGCTGTAACAAGGTGAAAAGGTATATTACATTAGGTTGGATACTTTGACGTCTAAAACATCGCACAGCTTGACAAGTTTTTGGAAGAACATTAGCCTGCAAGAAAACAGTCTTGGAGTAGGGCCAGGGGTGGAATAACCCTCCCCACTGCCAAGCTAGAGGGATACATATTTCATAATGTCAGCATCATGGTACTTAAGTAAAACTTTATTCATGGTACTTAAGTAAAACTTTATTTAAACAGGGTAGCCCGTTCAGCTCAAAGGCTGGTATCCATAGGAGCCCTGTATAATCCATGCATTTCCCAAAACTTGCTACAAGCTGAGACTGCATTACATGAAATAAATAAGAAATAGCGGGAAAAAAATGTAGTTGATGTTGATGGTTGCCATTTTCAAACTGATGTTAAATGAATGAAACTTGAAATGATTGAACGTTCGGTTTTCGTNACTAGTCAGAGTTTTAAACAGGCTATTTATACATTTCATGCTGCACTAGATTGGAGAACTAGACCATTGTTTCTTTTTTTTATTTTAGAGACTTGTCTAAATTTTGTTAATGATTACTTGTGGAGAATTTGGATGCTGGTACCTTGAAGAAAGGGTTACAAACTACCAGAACATGCAATGTATATTACCAACTAAAAGGACCTGAAAAGCCAAAATACAGTCAACGACATGACCTAGAGGTGTTGAAGGGGGGTTGACATGAGATAATAAGAGTGAAAATACAAAATTATCAGTTCAAAAGTATCCATATTAAGGTGACAGAGCTGCCATAATTTACAAGGCTATTACAATGTCCCAAACGAAAATTAGATAGACTTAGTAAAATATACCTAATGTATTCAATTTTCTTACTCCCTCAGAAGGAACGTTTTTTGCATTGTTAGCAGTCTTACTCAGCCTTTCTTGTTGATGAGGGAAAGTGGAGGGGGGAAGGGCGCTTTGGCCCTTGATGTTGCTGGTGAACATTCCCATTCTCAAGTGATACACATACAGACTCCTAGATTTGTGAAGGAGGATGTGGATTCTGGCTCATAAGTAGGTTGCTGACACTGCCAGCCATGTGGGTGGCTGTCAACAGGGGGCTGGAGTTGTAGTGCTAGCCTCTGGTACACAGTGTTCAGTTTCTGCCTACCAGTATTTACTGATAAAATTATGTCCACATCTGCAACCTTCATGCAATTAAGACCTGTCAAGGGCTATATGTTCAAAAATTTTAACCACTGAATATTTTTAGCTGCACCTTCAGTGAGTAGAGGTATGCTGGCTGATCACTCATTCCAATTGGCCACCAAAGCTTTGGATTCTTTACAACCAGTGTTCCTTCAAACAAGTCAGAACCTTCTGCTGAAGCTACCACATTACCAGCCTTGTCGACAAGTTCATAATTCATGGACACATTCACCGCACCAGTGGAAGACACTGTGCTCGAAAATTTGACCATACCCTCCTGACCAGACTGGTTTGTTGTTATGGTGATGTCTGACAGATACACAACAGGGGTGGTGTAAAGTTTGACTGGACGATGAATACCAGCATAGTTGAAGAAGTCAAAGGTAGTTTCTAAAACAAAATAACCTGGAGGATACCTGAAATCAGATAATACAGGCTTAGACACCATGTACTCCAGGTACTGCATTGATGAGAGATCATCAGAGGTGATAAATATTGGCACTTACCTGAAAAGTTCTTGAACAAGAGTTAAATAGTAATTGGCCAGAAGAAATGCAGTAGTGACTACAGTCAGAATATAGCATAAGGAAGATTGTTTTCAAAGTATAGATCTTGAAAGAGCACTGTCTCCTAGACTTATTTTGAGAACCTTCAACCTCTATTATAGACATTTGCAGAAGTAACAAGTCTCAACGGCAAAGCAGCACCTGTAAGTTTTCTACAAGGGGCAAGTTGTTAGAATAGAAACACTGTCAATGCCAATCCAATATTCAAACTTTAACCAATGATCTAAGTTTATTATAATTATTTTTTTGTTTTACAGTGCTTTTCACTAACAGTTAGAAGTTAACTAAGAAGGTAAATAATGAACTAAAAGTGTATTATCTAAAATCTCTGGTATGCAACATGTGCAAAGCTCTACGTGACTGTAGCCCTTTGATAACTTTATATTACGTGTGTAAGATGCTACATAATTTTTACGAAATTGTTAATATAGAATTGAAAATTAACCCCAATCTTGGATCATCATAATTTTCTACTATAAACAAATGAGCCCAAGTGAACTCTTTTGACCAGTGATATCTATATTCCACCCTTTTCAGTTCCCAGAAGATTTGAATGTTCTCCACTTACCTATTACCATGTACAAGGTATTTTATTGCCCCAGGGGGGAGGGTAGAAGGTGTCAATGTGTTATTAATTGCTGCAGTGATTCTGTTAATGCTGCCATAGGACAGCAGTGATGTGACATCTGCTTCAAATGGTAAATGGCCACCAGAATGCGTCATCACTTCTTTACCATTTAGCCACTGAAAATAAGAAAAAAAACAATATGGTAACTTAATGATCACTTGACCATGTCAGCCACTCCTACTATCCCTCTAAGGACAAAAGCTAACACTCTGGATAGCAGTCTACATGTAGTTCAGTCCACATTACACTGTGAAAAAAAAACCTCTTTGACAGCTGTCTATGGCCTGGTGTCCCAAGCACTAAAGTTCAATAATGTAGATGAACAATTAAACATCAAAAATTCGATCAAAGTTTACAAAAAGGTGCTCCAAGGCTTTTTTTTTTCTGTATCAAGGCTGTAAATAAAGTATTTGACCCATAGAGTGTTCATCCTTACTTTGAGATTTAACAGCCACAAGGGTGACTAGTACCTTTGATGTATAATATCAGCTTAGCACTCACTCATTTTTTCATTCATTTGTGAGGAAATGGTGGTTGAGTTGAAAACAAAAGTTGTGCTCAAAGCACAAAGAGAAAAAATAAAGCCTACCACTATGGTGTTGTAATGTGCACTCTCAAAACGTAGAACCACCCTGATTTGGTCT